GAAGGGGAAGTAAAGCCCACAGGCTCCTCCCTCTCCCCAGTGGTTCTCTTCTCCCTAAGCACCTAAGAAAGCTGGTCAGGGAAGGCAAGTTTCTCCCAAAAGTTGGGACAATGGTCTCTTCTTATGTAAGACCATCCTTGTCAGTTATCTCCTAGGGCTCTCAGAACACAGATTTGTATCTCCCCTTACTAAGAAAGTAAGCTAAGACCATAGGCTCTGGGCTTGCCTACACTGCACATCAGCCCTGGGAATGCAGGGCTTAGTTCAGGCTGCAGCTTTCTTGGCCAGCAGTACCCAGTTGCATCTGGCTGAATCCAGTCTCACCACTCAAAGGTGGCTTTATCACCAAGCCTGGCCCAATTCATAAGAACATCTACTCTTTTCTGCCCTACATCTCACTCACAAGCTGGTAGGACAGGAAGTAAGGGGCTGACTGGGAAATTCATACCTCCCTGTCTACCTGCAAGCCCTATCCCAGCTCCAAGAGCAGCCGGGGTAGCTCCCATCAGCTGAGTCAGCGCCTCCCCTGCCAACTGCAGCCAGGGGCCCAGCATGCACCCATCTACACAGCTACACATATGCCTGCCTTTTCCAGACCACCACACTCCAAAGCTTGTGGGGCCCTGTCTCCCCATTGTAGTGGGCTCAATGGCAGGCATTTTCTCTGACCAGCCACTCAGGCACTCTGTCAGCCTTTGATCATGTGGCCTACTCAGCAAACCTGGCTGAGTAGCCTCAAAATACTTCTGAGTCTAATGGAGACATAAACAATCCCAGCCCTTGTGGCCAGCACAGGCCCAAGGAGCTGTAAGAGCCAGGGTAGAGGAAGGGCAAAGTGGGCTAGGGAAGGGTAAGGAAAGAGAGTTGGCCTGTTTTGGGCAGAGAGTCAGGGGCATGGCCTTCGAAGTGAGAGGCAGAGAGGAGAGAGGTGCAGTCCAGGCAGGGGGACCAGTGTGGGTGCTGCTGGGAAGAGTGCATAATCCTGGATGAGGAGAAGCTCGGTGTAGCTAGCATGGAGGGGTGGAGAGGCATCCTCTATGGCAGAGACTCCCATGTAATCCCATCATGGGAGGGAGGCACAGGGTGGTTTGCTCTGTCTGTTCTGCCCACTCTGCTGTGTGCTCTTCCAAGACAAGAGGCCACTCATTCTTGGGCACAGTATGGGTTTCCATCTCCAGGATGGCCTCCAGCTATGCAGGCTGTAATTCTGGGCTGACAGGTATCAGTCTGGGAGACTTCTTCCTCTCATCTCCATCCCCAGTCAGTCTGTTGATTATAGCTTCTAGGTGTCTCTGCATCCCTCCCCTTGCCTACACTCTGGGTAACTCCCCACCTTGAGGCTTCAGCCTCTCTCATCTGGCTCCCTGGCCCTCCCCACTGCCATACAGGGGCCCTCAGAGGACTCTCCACCATGTTATCACTGCTTCCTGCAAGTTCAAGACTGACAAGTGCCATGGCCAGGCTGAAGCCCAGCCTGCTCAGCACTGCACCAAGGCTCAGCTCTCCTCCACTGCCCCCCACACCTGCAGCACACCCATCCCCCTCCTTGAGCCTGGCCACTGGAGCTCAATTACTTCCAGTTCCCAAACACAAGCCACTCCCACACACACAGAGCTGCCCCTCCCTTCACAATTCCCACTCCTGTGAGATGAGGTTCCCTCTTAACCATAAGCTTCCCTAGGATGATCATCCTGGGTGGTCTGCATACATCAGTTCCTGTCTGTACTCCACCATCCTGGGAGCAAACACTAGGTCTGAGACACCTGTGACCCCTGAGCAGGTGCCAGGAGAGATTTTTTGATGGCTGAGGTAACCAGAGCATCTCAGACAAGACCAGAAGAGAGCACACAGGCTGGGGTATGAACAGAGGGAGCGCAGGATGTGCCTTCAGCCCCTCTTGGGTTGAATACATCACTCTTCTTAGAGGCCCATCTGTAAGATGGAGAGGCTCATTTAAGCTTGTAGCAGCCTCTGAAAGACGAATGTACCAACAAACAAAAGAAACTGAGGAGAGTCCACCGCCTCAGTCTGCTGCTTCAGTGTCTCTGGCTGGGAAGTTCCTCCAGGCATCTAACCTCTGTTCCTCCCTCCATGCTGCCTCCCGCAGACCCAGTCTTCAGGGGGCCCTGTGGGGACAGCCTGAGAACAGCCTGAGAACAGCCTTCTGTCCCATCAAGGCCTTAATTGGCAGTATTAGAGTAATGAGTCACAGACATCAACCAATTAATTATCTGTAGTTATAAAAAGCCTCGCTTCCCCTTGCTTGCTGATGAGTGAGCCAGCCTCCTGCTGCTGGCTCCCCACTCCCTCAGCACTGGGGTGGGAGAAGAGGTCACCCTACCTCTGCTCCCCAGTTTCTGGTTCCAGAGGGGTCCCGTGTTCCTTCTGGGGAAGAGTGGTGCTGTGTGGCAGTATTTGCAGCTTGAAGGAGAGGGGCCTGAGGGAAGGGGTACCTTCCGAGCACTGCTCCCTTCCTGGCTCCCTAGAGTCCACTTTGGGCCCCAAGCTGGATCCTACCCAGGGTCCTGCTGAGGGACCCAGCCTGACATCCTAGCACACCCCTACCATGCCCCAGTTTCTCTGCAAAGAACTTCCCGAGCTCCTTTCCAGTGCCTTTCTTCCCCTTCAGCCAGGTCTCCCTGGCTCACACCATCTTCACAGTACACGAAGCTCTCCCAGCCTCCATCCTCCGGAGGCTCCAGCTACAGATCTGTCAGGACTGCCCAAGCATCACATGCAACGGCTCTGAGCCTGGATTTCTCCATTCAGGAAGTGGGCACACAATTCACCCCGCCCAGAGCAATTCCTGCACTCAGTGCGTACCCGGTTACCTACTTCCACTGCCTCTCCCGGCCTCTGTGACTCGACATACTCCTCAGCCCTGTTCCACAGGCGAGGGCCAGAGAGGGGAAGGTAGGTAGCAAAGAGGAGAGGCCAAGGTGGCCTCTCCCTACCAGGACTCCCCAGCTCACAGTGGCCTCTGTCTGCTCGGCAGGAGTCATGGGGCCCCCATGCTGTCACTCTGTCCTTGAGACATGGGTGGCTGTTGCTATGCCCTTCTCTGTGCCTGGCCACAGAGCCCAGCAGCACCGGCTCCTGTCCTGGCCCAGCTGTGGCAGGGGAAGGGAGAGAAGAGGAGAAAGGAGCAAGTGAGGGGAGGAGGAGGGAGGGTGCGCCGAGGATGCTTGTGCTCAGCTGTGAGCTGGGTCGGCTGAGGTGAGCTCAGCCCCATCTGTAGAGGGGTGCCACACTCTCTTTCCCAGCCTGCCTGGCTTCTGGGCCCTACTACTCCTGCAGCCTTGGCCCCATACTGGGCACCCCAGCCTCTGGCATCCTGAGTCTGTTCCCAGTCACAGCCCACACACTTCCTCTACTACCCAAAGCCCTGAACTAGCCACTGCCAAGACCTGTCTACCTCCACGTCTCTGAAAGGCTGGCCTAGACCCACCAAGGAACATGCCAACCATGACATGCATTTCCCTCCTTCAAGGATCTAACAGGCCACAGGCTTTCTGCCTGGGTGCTCAATCACCTCTCTCCCCCTCTGCCTCAGTTGTCATCCCATCCCCATCCATTCCAAAAGTGGTTGGACCACACCCTGGGGCCAATCTGTGCTCTGTCCCTCATGACTCGGTGACCCTGCCCTAGTCACTGACCTTCCCTGGTCTCTGTCTCTTCATGGATGGTGGGCCTGCTGGGGTGAGCAGCAACATATGTCAGCTTGGCACTGGCTCCTAGGACACACAGATGCCAGTCACAGCCAGATTCCTGCCTGTCCAGACATAAAGAGGGCCAGGCCAAGCAGGCGTGCTGCCTGCTCTCAGCCCCTGGGCAGAAGCTGCAGGAAGCAAAAGTGGCTCCAGGATTCTGAAGTCATTAACTTAGCACACTGCCACTTCAGAGAAGCAGAAGCTGAGGCTCAGGCAGCTAAAATGACTCATCCTGATGGCTAGCCATGGCTGGCACAGTGCTGGTCACTTCACAGGGTGAGGTGTCACCCTGGAAGCCATCCCAGGCTGGGGCCAGGGTGGGGAGACTGGACTTCTGCCTTAACTAAGTTTGGCCATGTTGCTGCCTCTGTGCTGAGAATGACATGGCAAGGAATCCAGCCTGGTGCCTACTGTGGTGTTCTCTGCTCCTTGTTTGGGGCTCATGAACCCCAGCTCCTGACTCAGTCTAGTGCTTTACCCCTCACCAGCCCAGACAGAAGAGAGTGGTCAGGCAGACAAGCTACCCTGATGTCCTGCCCCAGAGATCCTGGCCTACTTAGCTTCTGACCTCAGTCGTGCCTTCCCTTGACCACTCTGGCTTATTTGGGAGATGGTTGAATTGGGAGGCTGGCTTCTTTGTTCAGACAAGCAGGTAGGAGGAGGACAGTTGTTCTCCAGGCAGCAAAGCTTTTAGATAAACACTACACAGGAATTGGGTTCCTCCAGAGAAGAAACTAGATCTACCAGCTAATGGTACCCTAGGGATGGGAGTACAGCTCAGTCCTGGCCAGCGAGTCCAGCACTGAAGGTGGCCTTCTTTATCCCACTCACACCTGCTGCCAGCTCTGGCAGGCTGGTAGCTCAGATGACTGGGCCCTGTTGCCAGACCATGGCCCTGCCAGGTCCCAGGCTCCAGGATGGCCAGGCCCCCACCTTGCCCTCTTGCCACCACCTGCCTGCCTTTCCAGGTATGCCAAGCCTAGAAGCTGGGAGCTTCTGCTCACTTTGGGGTGACCCTTTCCTCCTGCAGAGCCCCAGATCTCACAGAAGCATCCCAGGCCCCACACTGTCAGAGGAGTCAAAACCAGTTATATCCTTGATGGGATGGGCTCTTCCCCTGCACACCTAGCCAAGCAGATTCAGGAAATAGCATAGCTCTGTTTTGAAAAGGAAGAGATTAAAATCCAGAAAGGCCATCAGCCCATCCAGAGCCACCCAGTAGAGTCTTGCTGGCCTGTGGGTTTGCTGGGGCCCAAAGGGTCCCTCAGACTCCATCCCTGGGTAGCTCACCGGTGTGGTATCATCATGTGAGCGCTGGTAGCGCTTCCAGCGGCAGCCGTAGATGCCTGTGAGGCAGGAAAGGCACAGCTGTGGCTCATAGTACTGCAGAGGCTGGTGTCTCACCATACTCGTCCCCGCAGCCTTGGTGCCTGGCTCTCAAGCACCCATGGAGGCCCCCAGCTGGTCCTGTGGGAGGAAGAACAGAGCTATAAGGGAGGGGAAGGGCTAGGGGTCAGACCCAGTACTGCCCGTGCTACTGCAGCTTAAGTCCATGAGCGTCATCATCTGTCCAAAGGCCTGGAGTGATCCGGTCTCACCTGGCGCCAGGGCCACCCTTGCAGGTCCCCTGCCATCCGCACATGACCTTATCCTCCCTGCTTTTCCCTTTGAGTTGCATGGTCTCTTCCATGCTCCTCACACTTGCCCAGCATGCTGCTGTGCTTCCCCGACCTGGGTCGCCCCTTTCTTAGAAACCAGCATGGCTCCCTCCTTCCCCTCTTTTCAGGTATTTGCTCAAATGTCCTTTCTCCAACGAATCCAGTATCTTCTATAAAATGAACCCCTTTCCACACTCTCTAAGCTCCCTCACACATTCTGTTTTATTTTCTCAACCATGTTTTTAAGCACAATTTACTTTGCTTATTTTGTTTCTTGTCTGCCTATCCTATTATGTATTATAAAGGAAAAGATTTTGTCTATTTGATTTTCTGCCATATCCCCATAACTAAAGCAGAACCCAGCGATAGAGTAAGCTTTCAAAATAAATATTTTAAAATATATTATCTTAAAGCTGATATGCACTGAGCTCTTAACATACAGCAAGCACTGGGCAAATGCTTTATGTCCTGTCACTGTCCTACCTCATGTCTCAACCACCTGACATGGCAGGTATGGTGTCCCAAATCCATCTGATAGCTGAACAAACTGAGGCTCAGAGAAGAAAGAGCAATGCTTGGTCTGCTGTCACATACACACAGGCAGTGTTTCCGTCTCCAGGCCTGGGGCGCCCCACCAGGTGGGCCATCGGGGGCTAAGGGAGCAGTAGGAGATGTCTAATGGTTGAATTGCTGCTGTTTCTGCCCCCGTGTGACCTCTCCTGAGACCAGCAAGGTGACTTGGTCCTGTGACCAGGAGGAATCATATCCTATTTAAAGGACTCACATCTGGTTTTTGTTGTTGTTAGGTTTTTTGTTTGTTTATTTATTTGTTTGTTTTTTTGATACAGGGTCTCACCACTACACAGTTCAGGTTGGCCTTGAGCTCACTTTGTAGCCCAGGCTGGTTTTGAATTTGCAACAATTCTCTTAGCTCAGCTTCCCAAATGCTGGGTAGTTACGGAGAAAATTCCATGTTGTAGATGAGGAGCTCAAGCCCTAGTCTATGGGACTCCAGAACTCAAAGTCAGGTCCTATCCTAGACCCTGGTGACAATGGAAAGAGGGTAGACTTGGTGGTTTTCCAGGACAGTAAGGAGGTGATGAGCACTGCTCCAAGTGCTTTCCCTGCACCAGTGTTACCAACAACCTTAGGAAGGAAACAATATCAGTATCTTTTATTGAAATATAACTCATATGCCAGAAAGTTTACCCTTTTAGAATTCAGTTTTTGAGATATTCAATTTTTAGTACATTCACAAAGTCATACACCATTACCACTACTTAATTCCAAAATATCTCCATCAGCCCAACAAAGGTCCCATACCCCTCTCAGCAGTCCTGCCTCTCCTGGCCAGCCTACCCCTCAAGCTCTACAACTCTGAGCCACTTTCTGTCTTTACAGACGGGCCTAGTCTAGCAATTTCATATAAATGGAATCATGCACTATGTGGCCTTCTGTGTACTGCTTCTTCTTTTTTTGTCTTTTTCGTTTTTATTGGTACCAGGGATCGAACTCATGACTGCCTGCTTGCAAGGCAGGCGCTTATGCCGCTGAGCTAAATCCCCAGCCCCTGTGTACTGCTTCTTTCACTTAGTATTATGTTTTCAAAGCTCCAGGTTGCAGCATGTGTCAGGACTTCATTCATTTTATGGCCAAATAGTTTTCGGTTGTAAGGATATTCCTCATTTTGTTTATTCTTTCATCAGCTGAGAGACATTTTAGGTTGTTACCACTTTTTGGTTGTTATGAATAAGACTACTGCAAATGTGCTTTTGTGTAGACATATCTTTTCATTTCTCCTGGATATATTCTTTGTGGTAGATTTGTGGGGTCCTATGGTAACTCTTATATTTGACATTTTGAAGAAGTAACAAACTATTTTCCAAAGTGGGCACACCATTTTACATTTCCAAAGTATGCTCATTACCATCTTCATTTGACAGATGAAAAGTCTGAAGCCCAAGTTGGGCACAGTCGATTAAGACTGCAGTCCCAGCACTGAGGAAGGCTGAGGCAGGGAGGACTGAAGTTTGAGTCCTACTTGGGCAACTTAGTGACTCTGTCTCCAAGTAAAAAATAGAAAAGGGTACTGTTATAGCTCACTCCTGGTGTTAAACTTAATCCTTAGTACCACGTACACACACACACACACACACACACACACACACACACACACGCACACAAGCTGAAGCACCAAAAGATTTAGCCACTTACGAAAGGTTGCCTGGCAGAGCCAGAATTCACACCCAGGGACCTTGCTCTAATGCAGGGGTTGGGAAACTATAACCCATGGGTTTGCAAATCTGACCTCCAGCCTATATTTTTATACAGCTTGAAAGCTAAAAATGGTTTTTACATTTTTAAATAGCTGGGAGACAAAATCAAAACAAGGATATCTACAACACAGGGAAATGGTATGAAATCTCAGTGGCCATAAATAACGCTTTATTGGACACACAGCCACAGCCAGTCATCTATGTCTTGTCTGCTTTAACTATAACTGCAGAGTTGAGTAGCTGCCACACAGACCATATGGCACACAAAGCCCAAAATACTCACTGTCTGGCCCTTTATAGGAGATGCTTGTCTCCTCTTGAAGCCAGTAGGCTCCAATGCTGCTGAGCTAGGGTGGTGACAGACACAGGAAAGGGAGCCTGAGGACAGCTCTGTGGTGTCAGGAGGGGGAGGACCTGCTTCCTGGAGGCAAAATGTCTTAAGCTGAGGCCTGGGAGCTGAGTTCTTGAGATGCCACGCTCTCAGGGCCCAAGCCACACCATATGAGCCTGCTGGGCTACAGGCCTGCTCACTACGCCCACCTCTGGGACTCATCCAGAACATCTGCTTATCTCCCACTCCCTCCCCTAATAACCCCACCAAATGCCCACCTCAGCCACAGATTACAGCCTCTAGGCCAGGAAGAAAGTACGTTAGGGGCTTGCTGGGAATACAGAATGACCAGGAGCCTGCTAATTGCTGAGAACTGTCTAGTGCAGTCTGCCCCAGTGGCTCCCCAGGGAGGCATGTACAGTACAGTTTCTGGGGGGCCTAGGGCTAGACCAAGCCAGGGCCCACGACAGTACAGAACAGGGACGCTGTTGCACTCAGCTTAGCTCCCACAGGGGCAGCATGATGGGGGTGCTGCCGCTGTGTGTGTGACACTCAGCTTTCTAAACTCCACAAACCCCAGGGAGCTTTGCATGCCTGTGTATGTATTCCTATATTCTCAGCCTTGCAGAGAGGGCAGAAGGCCAGAGCCCAAAGCCAATCAGCCATATCTCACTCTGCACCTCCAAGACTGGAGCTTCTACAGTCCCATCAGCCACCGCATCTGCCCCCACATCCCCAGGCAAAAAGGAGAAACCTGGATTCATTCTGCCCTGGCCACTAATTTGCTTTGTAGCAGGGCCACTCTGGGCTCTCCTGTGGGCCTCGGTCTTAGAGTCTTTCAAAGGAAATTACAACTTTGCTGCACCATGTATGGAACAACATAAAGTATATCACCACAAGGACCCCAGCTCAACAGGTGTAGGTTCTGGGACTAGAAACCCCCAGCCAGGCCACCTCATCTTCACATTCCTCTCCCAGGACTCCCTGACTCTGGCATAGATCCCCTTGTGTCCTCTGACACTGCCCCTCCCCCCGCAACCCCATCATCTCATCACACCAACCAGTAATGGAAATGCCACTTCAGTCTGAAAAGAGGGAAATGAAACTGCGAGTCACCCCTCAGCCAAGACTGGCTGGTTCTGGCTCTGGACACGTCTTCCTCCCAGCTGGATGCTCATCCTAGCCCTAACTCTTGGAGTTCCCATGGGAGGCAAACCTCTTTCTGTGTTCTCCCAGGGAGCACACCTCTTTCACTCTCAGGGAGCTGCCAAGGCACCCAGTCTCTGCCTCTGATGGAGACAACCAGACGCTCCTGCCCATCTCCAGGGAGTGTCAGCCAGGCTGGACAGACTCAGCTCCACCAGACTGACCCCCTCACCAGCCTAACCTGCATTAATACTCCTCCAGGTCCCTTATGGCTTTGCCCCCAGTCCCGCTCCCTGCCCTCCTGCAGCTGGCTTCTCTCCTCTATCACACACCCTTCCCTGGCAGCTGAAAGGAATATCTCTTTCTCCTCTCCCCTCCCTTTCCTTCCTTCTCTCATTTTGTTTTCTCTCTGTACTGGAAATAGAACCCAGAATCTTCCTATGGAGCTATATGTCCAATCCTTTTTATTTTGAGACAAGGTCTCCCTAAGTTGCTAAACTGATCAAGCTGGCAAGTTGGGCTCACACATGTGATCCTCCTGCCTCACCCTCCCACAGTGTGCTGGGATTACAGACATGTGCCACTGTGCCTGTCTTGGAGTAAACTTTTTACCAGCCACAGACCAGGATTGTCCCCTACCATTCCTCCCATCTGGCCATTTCAGAACTTGCTATCCCTTATCTGGTTAAATCCTCCTGATCCCACCCCTGCCCCTAATAACCTCTCTTGTGTCGCAGGTTGGTAGAGTCTTCCCAGCCTCCTGTAGCCCAACATGTGCCCTTGCACAGGAACACTATGTGTGCCCTGTTGACATTCCTGTGTTCCCCATGGGACAGCCTAATTATCACCATATCCACAGGGGCCAGCACAGGGCAGAAAGACTAGGTGCTACTAGGGGGCTGCTGGATGTTCTTTAGAGGAGGACCCAGGCGTCCTGTGAGCAGCTGTGTGGCTCAGACACTGGGCAGCTGACACTCAGAAATGACTCTGTACAACCTCCCTAGGCAACTTCCAGCCCTCTACTCCCTCCTCACTAATGGCATTACTTAACATCAA